ACATTCAAGGAAAAATTAAAGTAAGTATGGAAGTTTGTTGTTGTCCGAAAAAGTAACTTTCCCAAGATCTGCTCAAAATTATATTTAAATGCAGGAGTCTTTCATCATTGGGAGGTTCCCGTTTCTTCCTCCCTTTGGTGAATATATTTCCTTTCCTTGCCTGGTGCTGAACTGAATGCCAACAGTAGCATGCCTTCAGTGCTGAGGTCACCTTCCCACTTTGAGTGTCTGCAGGAATGAATTTGTGATTAATATGCTATCTTTCCTTCAATCACAATAATTGTTCTTTTCTGTTATTTTTTACTGTTGTAGGGGGAACTGGTGACCTCATCATGCTGGCATTTGTCACTTTTATTGCCATAGTGTCAGGGCGTGATTAGCTGGTGGAAACCAGAACTCATTTGGTAATGTTCATGCAAAATGTTTGGATAATATAAACATATGTAGGCAGTCACAGCATGGCTAGCACAGAAATAATCTGATCCAGAATGGTGTATTTCTTTTATCAGCTTGCATTAATTCATTTTCCCCCTCCTTTCTTATGATAATCTCCAGGGTAGGGGGAGATTTCTTGACCAGAAAACAAGATATGCATTCAGGAATAGAAACAACTATGCTAATTTCAGTAGAGAACATTATTAATTACTTGTATGAGGGAATTACTTGTATAAGGGAATGCAGGGAATACTTGCCAAATTTGTGGATGACACAAAATTGGGTGGAATAGCTAATATCTTCGAAGACAGGAACAAAATTCAAAATGATTTGGATAGGCTTGAGCCTTTTGTGGTAACAAAAAAGGCAAATGCTATTATAGGCTGCATTAACAGAAATATAAACTCCAATTCCCGCAAGGTACTAGTTCCCCTCTATTCAACACTGGTTATGCTTCATCTTGAGTATTGTGCCCAGTTCTGGACACCACACTTCAAGAAGGAAATTGGAACAAGTTCAGAGGAGGGCGACAAGGATGATCAGAGGGCTAGAAACCAAGCCTTATGAGGAAAGGCTGAAAGAACTGGGCATGTTTAGTCTTGAGAAAAGAAGACTGAGGGGTGATATGATAGCACTTTTCAAATATTTGAAAGGCCATCATACAGAGGAAGGGCAAGATCTGTTCTCGATCTCCCCAGAGTGCAGGACACACAACAATTGGCTCAAGTTAAAGGAAGCCAGGTTTCGGTTGAATATCAGAGAACCAGTTACCTTGGGAGTTGGTGAGTGCTCCAACACTGGAGGCATTCAAGAAAAACTTAGATCATCACCTGGCAGATCTGCTTTGATGGTATTCCTGCCTTGAGCAGGGCGTTGGACTTGATGGCCTTGTAGGCCCCTTCCAACTTCACTTTTCTATGATTCTATGAAGCACAGCACAGCATCCCCAGCCACCTTTCTGTGGGAATCACCTTTTGCACATGGTTGATCTCGTCATGTTTGCGCTTCTGGTTGCGAGTGATCTTGCGTTCTGGCTGCTCAGAGAGCTCGTTCATGTACTGATCAGTGTTCTTCTGCACTGCATCTTTGACGGTCTTGGTGAGGGCCAGGCGGTTCTTATCCACCCACTCATCCAGACGGCGGTTGACTGTGGTTACCAAAGAAAATGGGCTTTTAAATTATATATCCATGTACTCTTGTGCTCAGTGATAAGATGTCAATATCTTTTGCCAGCTTTTTACTTCTATTAATGATTTCCTGTACACTCTATCTGGATAGAGATCTGGTATGATAGCAGGTATTCATAAGAAGGAATTTAAGACCAATGAAAGAATTATAGCTATACAGGTATGCAGCATATGATATTTATTTTATATATTGCCCCATTAGTGCAGTGCACTATTATTAGAACGAATACCTATTTACTATTGAAATTAGATTCTCAAGCAGATGAGCAGACTGTGAAGGACTCAGACAGCAGATATTACCAGGAGTGGCCTTTTACTGCTCAGAAAAGTGGTTCTGCACAGTTCGGGGTGTGTGTGAGCATTTCCTCAATGCTCATTAAGGAATTTTTAGTTCTGGTTGGAGCTGCAGGTGATATAGCTCCTTATCTATATCTAAGCAATGGGTGGGTGTTGGAGAAGGGGCAGGCAGTTGCTGTGGTCAATGGAAGGGGACAGCAGCTGCCCCTGTTCCTTGCTCTACACAGCCGTGCTCAGCATACCATCCACTTTTTGGTGGTCTCTCCTTCTAGCAATAGGCAGTGATTGTGCATTGCTAATGGGGCATATGTAATGCACAGACTGCCATCAGCATACCTGCTCTTCTAGCTCTGTGCAATACTAGTCAGTACAGTTCCCCTTCTGCCTGAAGAGGAAATATTAGTGATAGGAGACACTGTCATCACCTCCTCTTCCCCCTTCAGACCTTTTTTTTAACACCTGAGCACATTTAGCATTCAACTCATCTTCCCAAAGTCTGTGGCAAAGGGGAATAGCATAGCTAAGATATGGAGGTAGAGTCAACAACACAGCGAAGAAGAGCTTGAGCTGTACCACTGTATATATAGAACCGCCCCTGGGGGGGTGGAGATACATGATGTTTTGTGATTTATCATGTTGCTTCACCATTTCAAAGTTGCACTCACAGCACTCCTTAGAAGAGTCAGTATGCCCACAGCCCAAAATGTTTGTCACCATTGGACTAAACAGACACTTCATATTTCCTCCAAAACACACTGATATAGAGAACCACAACAAAATACTCACATCCAACATAGTGCACATAGAACTCTTCCCTGTTTTCTTGCTCATTGATTCGAGACTGGATCACCTCTGCAGAGTCTGGAAGGAAAAGACATTCAGCCTGGTTAAGACATATCTTAGAAAGGAAGGCCTAAAGGTGTACATTGTTCTCAGACTGACACAATTTCCCTTGACGCATCTAGTGGCCAAAGTGTTTACTTTCAGATGGCAAGAGCAGAAAGGACTTGTGACAACTGGGTATGGCTGCACTCTTGCATGTTTTGTGAGGATGACAGCCCATTCAGGTGATCAAAACTAGCATACAAAGCCAGCAGACACACAACCACTGGAAATTTCATGGTAGCCCTGAGATCATGAAATCGAGCACCCCTCCCTACTTCAAGAAATGGGTAAGAAGCACCTTTTCTTTTTGTTGAGGTATGGCGTGGTGATAAGAGAAACGTAATTTATTGCGGTGCATTGTATCTTTCAGTGCTCTGTGTTGTTTTGTTGTCCTTCTCACATCAAAAGGAGGGCCAGATCCTGGAAAGGGCCAAAGTGCCACAGCCATACGTCATGTAGTCTATGACACCCCATAAAGGGGGTAGGTTGGGGGGATGTTCCCGACCAAGGGCCAACTTACGCCACGTCCCGTCCCCTCGCCGACAAAGGTAGGTCTCTCCGATCTCCACGGTGACCTCGGCCTCGCGGGGGGGCGGCGACGAGGGCGGGAGGTTTTGGCCGGTCGCCCCTCCCGCGCTGCCTTGTCCCGGCGCCTCCTCTTCTTCTCGCCCCCCCGGCCCCAGGCGTCGTGGGTCCGAGCCGGGGGGGCTCCCCCTGTCTCCACCCCCGCCGCCTTCGTCGGCGGCGGAAGCGGAGGCCCCTTCGCCCGCGCCGGGACCCCCAGCCGCTGCCATGACAATCGCCACCACGAGAACTCACGCGCGAGCGCACAAACGCACACCCTCCCCCGCCACCAACGGTTCCCCAAAAACCTTCTAGGCCCAAACCGGAAGTGATTGGTCCAGACGGAGGGACCGCCACAGAGACGGGGGCGGAGCGAAAGTGGCGCGTGAAAGTGACGTTTACAACTGTCCGGGTCATGTGACTGGAAGTTCGCTAGCGGCTAGACTCCGAGAACCCGCGGAGCGGTGCGTTGCTAGGAGACTAAGAATCCCGGCGTTCGCGCGACTTATCCCTCAGTCTAGGGCCGCGGGCCCTTTCAACCATGGAAAGAGGGACCAGGGACTGCCTCCCAGGATGCACCGCGCAGGGCGTTCCTCAGTTGCTGCGTTAAGACTGAGAATTTAATGTTAATGTGTCATTTTGTGGCTTGCAAGCCACTTCTGCAGAAACAACGTGATGGGATGTGTCTGAAGATGTGCTTAGTCCACGGAAGCTGACATGGATATACATTTTTTATAGTCTTAATCTTAAAATGCCGCAATACTTTTTTGTTGCTGCTGAGGCAGTTACCTTCTACAGTAATAATTTTCGAAAATGTCATTTAAAGTGGCGGCGGTAGCTCCTGAGGCAGCGTTTCCTGACCCCCCAATACAATTTGGTGTTCACCTCTTCCTTGTTCTGGAATTATAATAAAAATCATTTTAGTGTGGAATGAGAAATATTTATGCTGTGTCACAGAAATTTTCCTTCTTCCCTTTTCCAGGTGAGGGGCCACAATCCTAAGGACCGTCACTAGTGGGAACCCCTGTTAACTTTAGTAGAGATACTGTAATTCAAACGTGTGGGAAAGGACCACGTGGAAAGAGGCAAATCCAGCTGAGGGATGCTACTGTGCAGTTTCCTCTGAAGGTGTGATGATTGTGACAGTGGTTGCAAAAGCCATTTATATGTGATGCAAAGATATAAAGTGCTGTCTGCACTTTCTCCAACATAATTTTAGAATATTAAGCCCAAAGTGTCTGAGTTTTTTCTGCAATTGGGTAATTGTGTTTTGTCCTTGCATAAGAGTCACGGATGCAGTCAATGCATGTTTTTACTGATCCCACTCTCATTTAGAGGTGCTTTGATTAGTTTTTTCTTAGAAACATAGAATGCAAGAAGCTAGATTGATCGGATGACCCAGTTATACCTGAGACAGAGAGAAGAATTAACTTGCCCCTAAAAAGGGGCAATTAGAGAGTGATGGATGAGGATGTCAGCGTGGCAGTTTTTAGCAGCATCTGTTCCAGAAGCTCGTTGTTCCAGTCCCAGCAGTCAAGAAAATCAGGCAGAGACAATATACATCTAACAGCTAAGTCTATTTACAAATATATACAGCAGCAACAGCATTACAGCCCACAAATATTTACATTAACCAAGAGAATAAATCATTAGTGTCTATATATACTGTTCAATTGGTTGTCAGAGATATTACATCATCTTCACCCTCAAGATGTGTATTCCAGTGTCCTTCTCAGGCACACCCGCTGACACTTTGTACGTGATCTCTGTGCTAAGTGTTCATGGCCGTAAAATTCAGGTTCCAATTTATTTGGTTTATTTGGTTTATAACTTGACAGGATTCAGGAGATCTGGGCTTGAATTCCCAGGAGGGGGAATTGGCAATGGCAACCCAAGGGGGTGGGGGAGTAGAACTGGGAAAACCACTCCTTACCTTGAAAGCCCTTTAAGTGTTGCTGTAAGTCAGTTCCAACTTGATGGCACATATAACACATCGACACAAAACTCACACACTTTAAAGAACCAGTGTGGTGTAGTTGTGGATAGAGTGAAGGACTAGGGACTCAAGAGAAGACCTGAGTTTGAATCCCCATTTAACCATGTAAACACACTGTAGGATAGTAATAGTAAAACCATTTTTAAAATATCTCACATACATGGAAAATCCTATCAGGATCAGTAAAAGTTAGAAGGAGTTTGATAGCACACAACAAAAATCACTAGGATAAGTCAAATCACAGAGGCTCTTCTCTGTGTGAGTGCTCAACAGAGACCTGAAGTTTAAAAATGAATTCTTGTGGTCTGGGAATTCCTGCTATATTGGAACTTGCAATGAATTTTGAGGGCTCTTTTCCTGCATGTACTGCACCGGTTATCCCTGCATAAACCGAGGAAATGTTTCTGTGTATAACTGGTGGGGTTTTTTTAAAGTGCGGAAGAAGTAATTTTCATTTTCTACATTTCTAGAACAAACCCAGTGCACTACAGACAAAGCAAAAGTCTTCAGATTATGTGAAATTACGTTTTAATGCATTATTATAGAAGAAAACAGTCACAGTAAATCTGAACCACACTCAGTTCAAAACTAGTAAAATTACAGTGTCAGATATTTCTATACAGCCTTTATGCTCACTCTTCTTTTTCAAAGATATCATTAACCTACTTAATATTACTAGCATAGGAAGTGAGTGACCATATTGCTCCCTATGAAGAGACAGCAGAAATGAAAGTAAGGCTTTAATCCATTCCATTAAGCACAAATGTTGATACTTGAGAAGGCCAAATGTTTGAATTTTAACTCCATGAAATTCTGGCTAGGTTGTGTTATGGCAGGTTGGTCTATATTTAAATTTACAAATCTCCCTCAGATTTTTGGATTTAATTAGCATTATAATCTTTTTATAATGACTAAAAATGATGAATAAATAAGCAGTTATTTATTATTTATCAGTCTCTAGATGCTGATGGCAAGGCTTATTCACAAACCTAAATTATTTTGAGGATTTGCAAAGAAAAATTAAGTGATCAGGATTATGGCCTCAAAACTGATTGCATTTTGCTATATTTATGGCATGACAGAATGCAACTGTAATCAGTTAAGGACCTGAAGGCAGCAAATTAAGCCTGTTTGTCATCCTAGTTTTAGTGTCTCTGCATATGTGGGAGAAAAATCTACTGTACATTTTTCCGTTTGTAAGAACCCCCCCCCCACTTTTCTAACCCCCAAATTAAGAAAATTCAGCTTATGGGCTCAGAACACCCAGACATTAGGAGTCCCTGTTGAATCTGAGCCTACAGGCTCCGCCTCCAACAAGGAGTGTTCCAGTTGGTTTGTTCAGCATCAGTAGACGTCTGTTCCATAAGGCTTATGACTGGAGGAAGCCAAGTCTCCTGGCTATAGGAAGCTAAACCTTGTGACTGAAGGAAGCCTGTTTACAGAGGCAAGGTACAGGCCATTTTGTTCTCTCCTCAGTTTACTTCTGTGTATAAGATGACCCTCAATTTTTAGTGTAATGATTTTAGAAGTAGCATCTTATACATGGAAAAATACAGTATATTCTCTTGGTAATGTAAACAGAGCCAGGATTTTAATGTTACAGAAATACAAAAGTGTAGGTGTCCAACAATATCTGAAGGCGGTAATAAATATATTTGGGCACTTTAGTAACTCGCTAGGGTGGCAATACTTTAAGCGCCCCTCTCCAAGTGAACTGTTGTAGCGCTATACATCACTGTTTTGCTTGCACCAAACAGAACCTGGAGTGTATATAATATAAAAATCATCTTAGGACTATAAAACTGGAAGGGACCCTATGGATCACTGAGTCCAGTCCCTGTCAAGGAGGCACAGTGGGGAATCGGACTCCCAACCCATCTCTGCAGCCAGATATCTAAGCACAGTATTGAGCACAGATTGTTAGGCGAGACTAACAAGGCTGCGACTACACAGTGGTGAAAACACACTTTGATCTCCTGTGATCCACAGTTTTTCAAAGGGGGTCCCTGCTAGTTTCTGCAGGTGAGATCACTGTAGGCATCGAGATCACAAAGCTGTGTTTGCACAGAGCTCCAAAAGCAGGCGCAGAAGCTGCTTTTGGCAATTTCCGCTTCTATTCTTTAACACTAATTTTTCCAAAGTGACATAGTGATAGTCTACTGCAGTGCTAACCTGAAAGCTGTTTTTAAAAAAGTTTTAGAAACACATTGTCTGGAGACAACCACCACTTTGCCTTTGGATCAGATGATTACACACAGCAGAACAAAAGGAAATTACAGCAAATCTAATTTGGGGAATCACCCCAGCTAGCTGAACAACAGCAAAAAGACAACTCCCCACTGAAAACAGGTGATTCCCCACCAGGCTTTGAGGCCTTGAGCTCACGGAGTTGCTGGTATTTGATTTGATTTGTGCCTAATTTGATGCAAACTGGGGAGTAAATAGTCAACTGAGGAAATAATTACTCCCAAGTGATTAATACTATAGAGTTCTGGATAGCCAGTAAGGCACTGTAAAGTTTAAAAGGATGGTCTATTAAGATGGATTCCATTTCACAAGGAACCAGCTGTCAGGCAGCATTTGCAGCCATAATTACTTTGAAAATCTCAATAATAGTCAAATTGTCCTTGTTCTGAAAAAAGATCTATGCCTTAAAGAGCCAATTCTGATTTGCTGGGATTGTCTCGAATCAAAAATTAGGGGCCATTATGATACCATGTGGAGTTTTAAATCCAACCCAGTTTGTACTTTAGTTTCTAGTTGGTATGATGAATGAACTGAGTAAAACCACAGCATGGATTCCAAGAACCATCCCTTCTGAAGGACTGATTGGCTGTTTCGTAGATAAAACTGCAAATATTGTAATAAAAATAACCTCACAATATTATTTTGCCTTTCCTAAAGAAAAAAAGGGAACACCCAGAAAAGATGTATTTGTATGTCTTCTCCATCAACGCTGAAAATTAAAACAGCAAGATCTTTACAAAAAAATTTGCCTTTCTCAAAACAAAACGAAAAGGCTGGAGGATGATACCACGAGTGGGAGGAAGGTAAACCGAGGACCACAAGTGGCTCTTCAAAATCTATAGTCAGTTATCAAGGCTTTCTGATTCCCAGTTGCCTAACAATAACATTTCTGTTGATTAATTAGGTTTCTGAAAAATAATGACTGAGGAGAACCAAGAGTAGCTATGTAAAATTTATTCTGGTTAAAAACTTCAAGGATAAACATCTGCAGAGTCACTCTATTCCCTAATTCTCAGGCCATGGCCATCTACCTGACCCACGATTTTACACCTCAGGCTGGATGATCCATGATTTTATCCCTCACACCCACAGGGAAGAAATCAGCGCATTTTTACCATAAATACCTCAATAAAGGGGCAAGTCACAGCATGTGTAGTGAACAGATCTGGGTTTCTTCCCCCCTCATAAAATAATGTAAATATAATAAAGGAATCCTGACAGCAGAACTGTGTGAGAGAGATTCCACAAACTGCTTAATAATTCACCAACAAGATGCTACTGTATATTGGATAGTTTAAGGACCTAACAAATTTGGCACCGTTTATGCCTTTCAATGGAAACCACTTCCAGGAGAACAGAAGCCTACAAACCAAGGACTCTTTTAGGCTCTATGAGAGTAGAATATTAACACTAGTGCCCAAGGTAACACCGGTGCTCAAGGTAAGCACAGAAACCTGATCCTCCCCAGGATGGACGTGAGCCACGTGTCGGGGAAATTGCTGCTTATATCGGAAAGTTTTCCCACAGGCAGAACAAGCGTAGGGTTTCTCCCCCGTGTGTATTCTTTGATGTTTCACCAGTTTGGAGTTGACATAGAACCCTCGGCCACACTGGGGACATTTGTAAGGTTTCTCTCCCGTATGGATTCTCTGGTGCTCTATTAGGGACGAGCTTTGCGAGAAGCACTTCCCACACTCCTCACACCGATAGGGCCGCTCCCCGGTGTGCACCCGATTGTGGGACACCAGGTGGGTCTTTTTCTTGAAGCATTTGCCACAGAGGGGACAGGGGAAGGGCTTCTCCCCCGAATGGGTGCGCTCGTGCTTGAGCAGGTTGGAGCTCAGGGAGAAGCGCTTCCCGCACAGCGTGCACGTGTAGGGCTTCTCGCCCGAGTGGGTGCGCAGGTGCTTCACGAGGTTGGAGGTGCGGCTGAAGGCCTTCCCGCACTCCTGGCACGGGAAAGGCGTCTCTCCCGTGTGGGTGCGCTGATGTTCTGTCAGAGCAGAACTCCGGCTGAAGCCCCGTCCACATTCGGGGCAGGCAAAAGGTTTCTCGCCTGTGTGGATTCTCTGATGCCCCATCAGAGTGGAGCTTTGAGAGAAGCGTTTCCCGCACACGTTGCACACAAACGGCCTCTCCCCGGTGTGGATCCTCTGGTGTTCGATGAGCACAGAGCTTTGTGAAAAACTCTTCCCACACTCAGTACAATGGTAGGGCTTGTCCACTGGCCTGCGGGGAGCAGGGGGTGGCAGAGGAGGAGGAGGTTCCAGGATACCCAAAAGGTTGATAAAACCAGGAGGATTGTGGGAAGCTTCCTTTGCCCGTCGCCGCCTCACCTGCCCACGCCATCTCTGTTCCTCTACCTTGGCTTGAGTTTCATAGTCATTGGGGCTTTGAGAGGCATTTGGGCGATGGAGCTCAGCTTCATTTTTGCCTTCATTGTCTTGGTCCCTCACTCGTCTTTCTGCACCGTTCCTGCTGCCCAGTGCTGATCCTCTCTGGCCAGGGCTCAGGGGTACTTCAACCTCCTGTATGTCTGCCTTTCCTTCTCGTATTTCCTTCTTGAAATCTTCCGTTGCAACCTGTCTTTCTGTCCCAACACCTGCTGACAGAAAATAAATACTTGAAGAAAAACTACAGAACAAGAATTGAGAAGGAAACATCTGAAATGAAACATATACACATGCTAGGCACTCATCTCAGTGGATTAAATATTAATCAGGATTACTTAAGTCATTACCAAGTGTAATAATTACATTATTTTCTACTGTTATTTTGTTTCCCAACTAACCAGACCCACCTTTTTAGAACAAGGTTCAAAGGTAAAGTCTGTCGTTCTCTACATTATGTGTTGCTCCTCTGTTGTTTCCTTTACTCACTGTTCTCTACATTACAACCTGTTGCTCCTCTGTTGTTTCCTTTACTCACTATTGTTGTTAACAGAACCAGGCCTCAAAAGAACTGAATACCAAACATCATAAAGCCTTGCCATGTGTGAAATGTAACCAAACACCACTGTCCGTTTATCTTAGAGTCTTCCATGAATGTTTTGGTCTCTGTATTCTAACTCATATGTCTGACGAAGTGGGTATGTTCCACTAAAGGTTATATGAAAATATAGCAGTTAGTTTTTAAGGTTACATAACACCTTTTTTTCCTTTTGGGTTGTGTTTCTTGTTAAAATGCTTGCACAGACTAATACGGCTACAACTTTGAAAACTCTTCTAAGGGATCGCAATGAATCCTCAGTTATGAAGCTATAAATTTAAACAGTGACATCAACATGTACATCCACAGAGTTACTCAACAGGATTTCTGCCAGTGGGTTGGATCCAGGATCTACTTTCTAGGAATGGAAAGGGTACACTGATAAAAAGGTGTTCCCCTCCCCCACACTTCACTTCATTTACCTTTGTGAAGAGCTGTAGAATATACAGGAGGGTTATTTCCAGATGGAGAAATCGCTGAAGGGGGAGGGGGAGGAAACTGTGCAGACAGAAATATATTATTGTGTCCAGTCACAGTGATACAAACATTCTCAATTTTCTTTCCCTAAAAATGTATGAGTGGTTCTCTCTTTCCTTCCCAAAGATTTAGAACTGCAGGCCACACTAACAGCTGGTAGAGCTATGAAGATAGGGAAAGAGACTTAACACCAATGTTATCCCACAGCATTTCTCTTTCATTGTTTACTGTCCCAGCCTGGAGCATATGGGAACCAGCTGTGAACATTTAACCTGACAAGAAAGCGCACACACCCCATGACCTCTGAAGCATAATTGAGCCAGGCTGATTGATGGCTTATGGCAAGAAAGGCACTGTGGCTGAGTTCGTTTTTTTGTCTTAGCATGTTAATTTAAATTTTGCTTTTGGCTTGCTCTTATTACATCCAGATCATTATGTCACATAAAACACACATTATGTCCAGATTATGTTGTTGTATTAAGCTCTGTTAGCTAGTTGGTTGGATAGCTCAGTACTCAGTGGTCCCCAACCTTGGGCCTCCAGATGTTCTTAGACTACAACTCCCAGAAGCCTTCACCACCGCTTCTGCTGGCCAGGATTTCTGGGAGTTGAAGTCCAAGAACATCTGGAGGCCCAAAGTTGGGGACCACTGCTTTACATAACCCACTGTGTGCCACGATAGGAGCCAGTCTGTGTAGCCTTGGGCAAGCTGCACAGTCCCAGGGCGCCCCTAGAGGAACGGAATGGCAAACCACTTCTGTGCATTTTCTACCTAGAAAACCCTGGAAAGGGTTGCCAGCAGTTGGAATCAACTTGATGGCACACTGTTATTGTTTGGCTCTGTTTATTCAAGAGTTAGTTTTGTATTATTTGAATGTCTTCCTTCATTTTGTAACAAACTGTTTTTTTTTTCAAATAGGATGTTGGTGTGCATTGATCTGGGCACATTCACTGTGGAAATACAGCATATATACTGTAGTTTGAAAAATATGAAATGTATTTGGAATGTATATTTGGAAAACAAGGAAAAACAAGTTATACCTATTGCTTTAATAGCACATAGCATGTTGCACTATCTCATGAGGTGCAGCAGTGTAAAGCGGATTCAAAAAATTGTTTCTAAATCTGGTCTTAGTCTCAGTACAGTATTTCAAATAAAGTTATTAGAATTGGAAGAGTTCCAGAAGAACTTTACGTTTATCTGGGAGGACCATGAATTTACTGGTCCAGAACAACTGAAACTGTTGCAAGGGCAGTGGTAAAACATGCACACACTCCTTCTCTTATGTTATAATGTGCTCATGCCAATCCCAATCCTGAAGATTTTAACACTGCCTAGCAGTCAAAATAAAGATTTAAAAGGATGAGAAAGAATATAACATGTCCTCTATTAAGCCTGAAACAGCATTACAAGTTCTCTCGTTCTAGTGGAACCATTTCTGGGAGTGACAGGGAGCAGGAAAACACCCCAAATTTTACTGCAAGCCCCCACTATCTTTTTAAACTCTTACTGAGTGTAGAGATAGGAAACAGGGATTTAGAATTTCTCACTATGAATATGAACAAAAAGGGCAGAGGAGAAGGTAGTAGCTACCAACCATCCTAATTTTAAATCCTCCCTTTATACTCTGTTGCTCTAAAATACTAAGATGCGCATAATATACAGTATGTTCTACCCTGTACATCCACCAAATATACATACAGTATTTTTTTAAAAAAATTCCTACTCTAAAAGGCCAAAAGATCCTTGTTTTAAGTCACAGGATAGAAGATCTATTGGCCTCATTAAGACATGAGACTGAAAATTGTTCTAATCTACAATTCCCTCATTGGGAGAAAGGCAGCTTATAAATAAAGTGAAACAAAACAAAATAAAAATAAAGCAAATTCAGAATGTGTTCTTGTACAAGCCTTTTTGACAACACACCAGGTTTTCAACTGACATAAAACAATATTTTGTTTGAAGATGAGTTCAGTACAATTCCAAACCAAGGCAAGAACAGGAAAAAAAAGTGTAAGCTGAACACTGAAAATCTCAGGGCATAATATGTAACAAAGCTATGTTTCTAAACGTGCACATGTATACACATATTTCTGCTTTGAATACCTACATTCCAAGAAAACTCCAAAGCAACCCTCAAAAATAAGTTTTCCACTTTGAAAATTAACACAAGTTAATATGCCATAATATAACATTTTCTTTCTTGTATGTGGGACAGAACAAAGGTATGAAGAGTTTGATCCTTCTTTTCTGAGGCTGTTTAATCTCCAGTTTAGCGGGGAACGTAACGTAGGAGGGACGTTTAGCTGTTCCTCCCCGTCGGAATTTTCCAAAATTTACTGCCCATTTTTACCTTTGCTTCTGGATTTCTCGCCTTCCTCTGCACCTTGTCCACGAGGCTCTTCCATCTTGGGGTAGGATTATAATGTCCTAAATAATCTGGGGAAGCTTTGGCAAAAAAAAAATCCCCGCCCTGTTTTTTTCCCCCTCACCCCGGGACAAAAGCAAGACCCGTTGCAACACACAAAACAGTTATACCAATCCTGTGGCTTGTGAATCACTAATGCCTGCAGAATAGCACAGGGAACCCAGTGATGACGTCATATCCTCACCCAAGTTCACATGATGCAAGGGGGAATCGAAGAATGGAGGGAGGAGGAAGAAGAGTCCTGGAAGCGGTTGCTAGGCAACCAAAGAACACGCTCGCAAGGAAACGAGGGCCCGAAAGAAATGAAGGGCTTGATTGCCTTTAGACCTAAGTTTATATGGGCTGCGTTGCTTCCAGAGAAGGGCTGAAATCCAGTAGTAAGTCATATCTAGAGTAAGCCCATTGAATCAGTGGGGGCTTGGTGAGTCAACTCTTCTGCAAGTTCCATTTATTCAGTGGGCCTCCTTTACTTGCAACTTACTACTGGGCTTTAGCTACTACCCAGAGTAGACCATTGGTCTAGATGGGCTGGGTACAAATATAATAAAATAAATTAAAAAAATAAAAACGTTAGGGAGACGCTGGAGTACCTCCTTTACTTCCTCTCCCCCCTTCCCCCAGTGTGTATGGCAGCTAAATACTGTATCCTGCTCTACAGGAAAGCAGGGGGCTTGAATTTGCCGGTCAATAGTTTAAAAGCTGAATATCTAACCAACTTGGCAACCAGGTCTGGTTACAATCCTCACCAGTATGATGGGTGGTATTTCTGCTGAAAAGCATTTCTACCCATGTGTTATTCCTATATTTACACATCTATTGATACATATAAAACAAATCTCTCTCCTTTTTCCTCTTTGATGACAATTTTTTTCTTTGCAGTGTACAGGAGGCCACCATATACCAGTATGCTGTTAGTAGCCTGTAAGTTACACAACAGAGGCAGTCAGTAAAAGTTTTCCTGACATGGAGACAAGAGTGATGAGGAAAGTTATGTTGGTTAACTGTCATTTGTCAAAGGGAGATCTTCAGATCTTTAGGAGTAATGCCAAGTTGGAGAAAGTCACATTTCATTTGGCTGTGCTCATTTGCTTAGATATTTAGCACTCTGAAACATTAAGACTTTCTGCATTCATCCTGCCTCGTTCACAGAATTTTATTAGGGTGGGAGGAGAGGGTCATACTCCATTTGCAACCCTCTGCATTTTCCTGCCATTTCTCCCTGGTTCTATTTTATTGAAAAATGACAGGAAGTTGTCTTGTTCATAATGTTGTGAAACCCTGCAAATGGCCTTCGAGATCAACATTAGCAGAAAGGTAGTGTATATATGTAATATATAGACTTCAGGACACATTGCCTTTGATCATGTGCAGAGACAATGCTTTCTCTTGAGGGAAACCATTCATGAAAGACACAAGGCTGTGAAGCTGTCGGTTAGCATCATAAGCTTTTCTGAGGCTTGTAAGGTGCTGGGAAGATTCTCCCTGTGCTATTTCTCCTGTGGGTTGAGACTGGTCCAGTCAACTGTTATGTCGAATGCAGGGAAATTGAGGGTCCCGTTGGTCCAACTGAAGTTGTTGTTCATGGTTCTCCGGTGTTTGAAAATAAAAGAAACGTTTATGAAGAAGGCCTGTCTCCACTTTTTGGGGAATGGGGTTTTCCCAAAATTGAACCCACTCACAGACTGTCATGCTACTTTTGACACTGGAGCTGAAAATGAACAAGGCCCTTTGACACAGGCCCCCCAAGACTTTGACATGGAGAAATAGGTTCTCAAATCTAAAGGACAGAAAGGGTGCTAATCACCCAGCATCCCCCACTATGATCCAAAGTCAGTCAGATGGAAGAGTTTCACAATTTGTGCCTACGGTTTTTCCCCTTTTCTTTCTGTAGCATGTTTTTTTTCACATTGTAAGCATAAAGACGTGAGCTGTTAGGTCTTTTGAGAGACATAGTTAATTATTATTGCTACTGTATTCATGTGAGCTAGTCTCATAACTATTCAGCTGTAGAGCATGGTATAAATCTATAAATAAATAAATGAAAACTAGAGCACATGTTACGCAACACTCACACATCCAACAGATCAAAAACAGCGACTTTTCTCCTTCCTAGATTTACAACCAGAATTAAGACAGATCGTTAAATTAAAAAGAAAAAAAACCAATAAAAAAACTAGTCAAGTGATAGTCTCAAGAAACAGTGAGGCACAAGATGTTTAAAATCAAAACTGCCAAGAAACCAAACTCTCTACTGTACTTGGGTAGTTAAAATCAGCAGTGTAGGAACTCATTGCTATTCCAACTATTTGAGCCAACATTATTTCTCAGATATGGAGTATTCCCACTTATCTGGCTTGTTCTGTGTTTTGGATATCCTATCACTTCCATATGCTGAAGGTTAAAAGGGTAAATGTGATGAACAAACTGAATGAAAAATATTTATTTTTTGGCTTCTAATGAACAAGATATATACACACATGACTCATTCACAAATGAAGATTTTTCTCAGGGGCAGCAGTGAAATAAAAACATCCATTATTCAGAGGCAGCAGTGAGATAAAAAACATTTATGTTCTTTAAAAACAAAGAAAATCAGAATGCCAGTACTACTGTAGAAAATTGTGAATATATTATGGTATGAATATACATCAGAACTTTCTGCTGTCTTGTTCCATTGGAAATCATACCAGTTTTAGAGTTCCCTACAATCAGTGACCAACAGAAGGGGCAAAAATCTCATTATGATGACATGCTACCATTTCGTGTTTTGAATAACATGTCATTGGTACTAACAAATTTAAATTCAAGGCAGCTTTAAACAAGAAATATTATGGCATATCTGGATTGTAAATTAACAGTGCAATAAATATATAACTGCTGTTCTACCAGTGCAAAAGATCCAGACATACGTCCTCTCCTTCGGAAGTGTTTCTGTTTTGGAGATAATGGCATTTTTCTCAACATTTAAATCTATTGTTATTGTGTTATTGTTTAGTCGCTAAGTCGTGTCCGACTCTTCGTGATCCCATGGACCAGAGCATGCCATGCCCTCCTGTCTTCCACTGCCTCCCGGAGTTGGGCCAAATTCATGTTGGTCGCTTCGCTGACCCTGTCCAACCATCTCGTCCTCTGTCGTCCCCTTCTCCTCTTGCCTTCACACTTTCCCAACATCAGGTTCTTTTCCAGGGAGTCCTCTCTTCTCATGAGATGGCCAAAGTACTGGAGCCTCAGCTTCAGGATCTGTCCTTCCAGTGAGCACTCAGGGCTGATTTCCCTTAAAATCCATAGGTTTGTTCTCCTTGCAGTCCAGGGGACTCTCAAGAGTCTCCTCCAGCACCGGTCTGAAAATATTTATCTGACTTATCCTGTGGCAATGTCTATGGAAGCTGTTTCAGTTCAGCAATAAGCCCAGCAGATGCCTCATGAAAAAGCCTGACAAGTTTACTGATAACCCAGTTTACTGATATACCTTGCGTGAAGTAATAAGAGAGAAAGAAAGTTAAGAATGCGGTGTGTTAGGAAAACACATAAGGGCAGATGTTCCGTGGCACCAGGGTAGATTAGCTAATGGTGCCACAAAACTCATTAGCCCACCTGGCATTATAGCCACCTTAGGCCTGAAAGAAAAGATGAACCAACTTTCTTCCATGTTATAAATGTTTCTCCAGCTGGTCACTTGGAAATCACTGCTACTCACCAGGAAGGTCGTATCAGGGCATGATAACCATAACTCAGAGCAGAGCACTGAAGTTCTATCCAACATGTCCTGGAGCCCTAACTTGCATATCAAAGCCTTTTTCAAAGACTCTCAAACCACAGATTATAGCAAACTCTGATTGTACATTTCCTCCATGAGTTTCTTAGGGAGAAAACAGGATATGGCCAGATTTAGTTGCTTTCTTGGACTGAGGAAGCAGGGAGATTGGAGAATGTAGGCCCACTGGAACCTCTTTCTTCAAGGGACTGAAGGTAGCCAAACTGAAGTGACAAAGGAGCACAACTTTAATGGGAGCTACAGTCAGGAGTTCTAATCCAGATTTCAGAGAAGCAACTATGACTGTAAACATGACTTACTCTTGATCAAGCCCAGAGACAAGAAGAGATAAGAAAGGCTACAGTGATAAAGAAGCAATTAAGCATTTCCATTGAACATTTTGTCACACGCTTGTATGAGAGAAGGTGTCTCTGCCCAAGCTCCCAAGGGGATAGTAGCAACGGGTTCATCTGCTCCCTCCTTTTCTGCATGCGTCTGTTTCTGGTGACGAGTAAACTGGGGCTTGTAGCGAAAGGCCTTCCCACAGATGGAGCAGGTATACGGTTTCTCTCCTGTGTGAATTCTCTGGTGCTTGATAAGGTTTGAGCTCACACAGAAGCTCTTCCTGCAATCTGCACATTTGTAAGGCTTCTCTCCTGTATGGATCCTCTGGTGTTCTACCAGGATTGAGCTCTGGGAAAAGCACTTCCCACACTCCTCACACCGGTAGGGCCGCTCCCCTGTGTGGACACGATGGTGGGACACCAGGTGAGTCTTTTTCTTGAAGCGTTTTGTACAAAGGGCACAGGGGAAGGGCTTCTCTCCCGAGTGTGTACGCTCATGCTTAAGGAGGTTGGAGCTGAGGGAGAAGCGCTTCCCGCACAGCGTGCACGTGTAGGGCTTCTCGCCCGAGTGGGTGCGCAAGTGTTTCATGAGGTTGGAGGTGCGGCTGAAGGCTTTCCCGCACTCCCGGCATGGGAAGGGTGTTTCCCCCGTGTGGGTGCGCTGATGCTCGGTGAGGGTGGAGCTACGACTAAAACCCCGCCCGCACTCTGTGCATCGGTAAGGCTTTTCGCCCGTGTGAGTGCGCTGGTGCTCGACGAGGGTGCTGCTGCGGCTGAAGCACTTCTCGCACTCGCTGCAGGTGAACGGGCGCTCTCCTGTGTGGATTCTCTGGTGCTCTATCAGGTTGGAGCTCTGCGAGAAGCTCTTCCCACAATCAATGCAATGGAATGGCTTCTTGGACACGTGCCGGGTTGAAGTGGGGACTGATGGGGACCCTATAGTGCCCGGCGCATGGACACAAGCTCCTGAGGCTGGCATGTGAGATCTCCTGCATCCACGTCTAAGTGGCGGGGGGATTACTTGTGGTTCCTCCGGTCTTCTGCAGGTTGCTCCACTTCCTGCAGGTACTGCCTCTGAAAGAAACATCACTTCTTCCTTCACTTTCCAACCACCTATGGGATGAATAGGAAGACTGTCAAATATTTAAAAGCTTAGTTCCTCCCCTATATCAGGAAAAAGTTACCTTTATGTCCTAAGGCAGCAATAGGCAAATAGCTATTGAACTGCAGCTCCCATCCACTAACAATGACTATTTTGGTAGGAGTTTTAGCCCAACATCATCCAGAGAGCCACACATACCTCAATGCTGGCTAACAGATTTCCAGGCTAAATCAGACCAACTGTTCAACTTGCTCAGGATTCTGCCACTGAACAAGGAAGAGCCTAGGTTAGGTTATCTACAAGATCATTCCCAACTCAAGTATTTTGTTTTACAGTAATAAATCAAATACTTCTGCTTTAAAGTGTGGTGCTTAACTATTCCAGCAGGGATGGGCAAAATGTGGCACAAAGGCCACATGTGACCCCCACCCCACCTTGGCACAACAAATACATTGCCCCATGCCTTGCCAGGAACTCCCCAATAAAACACATTACACACCTTAATTTTTTCCCCTCTAACGGTCCTCTACCTTCCCATAGGGGGCACAAGGGGCAATTTTGCCACATTCTTCTCCCCACTGTTTCAGGCTGAGAGACTTTTCTGAAAACTAGACATCCATTTAGAATAGCTTCTTGTTCTGTGTCACTGAGTTGCTTCTGATTTATGGCTTAGGATCAACCCTTCTTCCTCACAATGCACAGAACTGTTCCCTATGGCCCAGAGGATGTGAGCATGTTTCTTCAGTTGTTCTTTTTCTCCCTCCCCCAAAAAGAAATTGCTGGTGTGGGCCTGGTGCAGTCCTGCCCGGGGGGCTGTGCCTCTGAAAATAGCTTACCCCATGTTAGAGAAATGGGAGTACGATAAAATAATTCTTAGACCAAACCATCTTGTAAGTTTATGTAGGATGAATCACTCTCTCTTAGACTAACCTGTTTCACAGGATTGTTTGAGAATCCAAGGGAAACTGAGCAATATTTGCAGATTACACCTTATTCCACCTTTGCAGGCACAAAGATAATACTGTCTTATTGTTAGCTGCCCAGAGTGGCCTGGTTGCCAGATGGTGCAGGGTATAAATCCAATAAATAGATAAATAAAAATCTAGAACAAAACGGATCACTTGATGCTTTCGTACCAGTCAAAAAATTTAAGAACAACCAAAATGAAGTCACTAGAGATTCAAGTTCTGGAAAAGAGCTTGCATGCCTCCCAGTTCTCCCCATTCCTGTGTGCTTTCAGAAGATACAATTTCAGAAAATTCTGTTTTCATAACTGTGAGCTCCAAACACATATTAAACTAGGTAAAATTATGCAGAACTATATAATCATCATCTTAGAACTGCAGAGCTGGAAGGGACCCTATGGGTCATTCAAACTGAGCCCCTGCCAAGGAGGCACAGTGGGGAATGGAACTCTCAACCTCTGGCTCTGCAGACAGATATCTAAATTACTGAAGTATATGCATACAGGCATGCTTATTTGCATAAATGACTTTGATTTCAGAACATGGAGTTTCAGGCTGAAGGTATGGGTTAGATCTAGAACAACACCTATATACCCTGTTTCCCTGAAAGTAAGACCTAACCTGAAAATAAGCCCTAGTATGATTTTTCAGGATGCTCATCATCTAAGCACTACCCCCCAAATAAGCCCCAGTTAAGAGAAATCCACCCTCCACCCTTGTGCAGCAACCAGAAAATGATAGGTAAAGGTAAAGGTTCCCCTTGACAGTTTTTGTCCAGTCATGTTCGACTCTAGGGGGCGGTGCTCATCCCCGTTTCCAAGCCACAGAGCCAGCATTTGTCCGAAGACAATCTTCCGTGGTCACATAGCCAGTGCGACTTAGACACGGAATGCTGTTACCTTCCCACCGAGGTGGTCCCTATTTATCTACTTGTATTTGCATGCTTTCGAACCGCTAGGTTGGCGGGAGCTGGGACAAGCAACGGGCACTCACTCTGTCGCGTGGATTCGATCTTACGACTGCTTGGTCTTCTGACCCTGCAGCACAGGCTTCTGCGGTTTAGCCCGCAGCGCCACCACGTCCCTCAAGATGATAGCATGACTGTATTTGCATAAATGTAGATTGCTGTACATGAAACAAAATCCCCTGAAAATAAGCCCTAAAGTAATTTTTGGAGCAAAAAATAATATAAGACCTTTTCCTATTTTTGGGGAAACTGGGTAGTTGTGTTCTTTTTCAAAATCTTAATATAAAGATTTGCTCTTTATATACCAAAGGAAGGGAAGGGGGCCTCACAGTTTTTCACCTTGATTGTCTTTTCCATTTGCCTGTTCCTCAGAAACTTGAAGTTCTGGAGCACATTCTTTCTTCTCATCTTGAGCCATGCAGAAGACCAAAGCAAAACTTTCTAGGTTGAAATCCTGCGTGTGAAAGATGAAGATTTTATGCCTACTTTATGTTCTAAAGCAGGGGTGTCCAACCTTTCACCTTCCCTGGGCCACATTAGAAGATGAAAATTTGGTTTAGGCCGCATTGAGGGGGCAGCCCTAGCCATCCTCCGCAGCCCTGCTCCAAGCATGCTTCCCGGCAGCTGCAATCTCAGACAGCAGAGGCTGCCAGCTT